GACTGTGAGTGTGAGTGTGAATCGTTGCGGGAGGGGAGCACGTCGATCCTCTCGTACTTACCCTCTGGCTGCTGCAGTAGTGACGCTATCCTTCTTGATGATGCCTTTTTGCCCTTTACAACCCTGTTTAGTGTATTGTGCGCCGTGGCCTGTGCACACGCACGCACACAGACACACACGTGATGAAGGGCATCCCCATTTCTTATTTTCCATTTTCTCTCCCGCCACGTCCTTTGGAGGCATCGTTCGACCCCCTCCTCTTTGTGGATACCGCGCTGTGTTGACAATGCGTTTTACGCATGTTGTGCTATTCTGTGCCGGCTAGCGGTGTACGTAGTCACTTGTACGGCATTTGGGATGCAATATGTGTACAGTCGTCTTCTCTTTGGGGTATCGGGGGAAAGGTTGTGCTGAACAGCACAATTATTTTGTTCTGTTTTCTTCTGTTTGCATCTTTCGGGAAGACATGGGTCATAAACCCTTTAAAAAAAAAGAATGATTTGTGGTTGTGTTGCGGAGCTGCTGTGTTTGTGGTGGATGCAATGGATATCACGCCACTTTTTATGTGCACTGGCTTTAGGCCCAGTGCCATGATTGTTGTTTTGTTTTGGCTTCATGTTTGGCAAAATGGCAAGTGCAGACGATGCAAATACTTGCCCATTGACTGTGCCCATGCAGGCTTCTTTTGGGTTGGGTGCTTGTGGAGGGGAAGGAATTGAGTTTGGGAGCCTCTGTGGTTGCTGTGGGCGTATTGCTGTTCTGCTTTTTGTGGTGGCTTGGGTGTTGCGAGGGACGGATGGATGACTGTCTTTGCGTCCTCATGTCAGTGTGTGTGTGTGCGCGCGCCTCACTGATGGACTCGGGCCATCTTGTGGGTGCGGCACTTTGCCTTTTCTCTTCTCGCGGCCTGCACCTTGTCGGTGGTGTACGGGTGTGGCTTCTCACCGTGTTGGCCTCACTGCACTTGCTTTCTTTCTCCCGCTCTCTCTGTCGCTGTCTTCCTCTCCATTAGTTTGCACAAAGGCGAAAGGAATAAGTCAGGCCACCAAAGCCATATTTCAGCTAAGGTAGCGCTAATGGCACGGCTGCTTCTCGCAGCGCTGCTGGTTCTCTTTACGGTGGTGGCGGCGGCCGCCCCGGACGGCACTGGGAAGGTGGAGGCGCCATGCGTCGGCATCGATCTCGGTACGACATACTCGGTCGTGGGCGTGTGGCAAAAAGGGGATGTGCACATTATTCCGAACGAGATGGGCAACCGCATCACGCCGTCTGTGGTGGCCTTCACGGACACTGAGCGCCTAATTGGCGACGGCGCGAAGAACCAACTGCCACAGAACCCGCACAACACGATCTACGCGATCAAGCGTCTTATTGGGCGCAAGTACAGCGACTCCACGGTGCAGAAGGACAAGAAGCTGCTGTCGTACGAGGTGGTGGCGGACAAGGATGGCAAGCCGAAGGTGCAGGTGGAGGTTAGCGGCAAGAAGAAGCAGTTTACGCCCGAGGAGGTGAGCGCGATGGTGCTGCAGAAGATGAAGGAGATCGCGGAGACGTATCTGGGCGAGAAGGTGAAGAACGCCGTCGTGACGGTGCCCGCGTACTTCAACGACGCACAGCGGCAGTCGACGAAGGACGCTGGTACGATTGCGGGGCTGAATGTTGTGCGTATCATCAACGAGCCGACGGCTGCCGCGATTGCGTACGGTTTGAACAAGGCTGGTGAGAAGAACATTCTTGTGTTTGACCTTGGGGGTGGCACCTTTGATGTGTCCCTGCTGACAATCGACGAAGGCTTTTTTGAGGTTGTGGCGACGAACGGTGACACACACCTCGGTGGCGAGGACTTCGACAACAACATGATGCGCTACTTCGTGGACATGCTGAAGAAGAAGAAGGGCGTGGACATTGGCAAGGACCAGAAGGCGCTGGCACGGCTGCGCAAGGCGTGTGAGGCGGCGAAGCGGCAGTTGTCGTCGCATCCCGAGGCACGCGTGGAGGTGGACAGCCTGACGGAGGGCTTTGACTTTAGTGAGAAGATCACACGCGCGAAGTTTGAGGAGCTGAACATGGAGCTGTTCAAGGGGACGCTGGTGCCGGTGCAGCGCGTGCTGGAGGACGCAAAGCTGAAGAAGAGCGAAATAGACGAGATTGTGCTGGTTGGCGGGTCGACGCGCGTGCCGAAGGTGCAGCAGCTGATTCGTGACTTCTTTGGCGGCAAGGAGCCGAACCGCGGCATCAATCCTGACGAGGCAGTGGCGTACGGCGCGGCGGTGCAGGCGGCGGTGCTGACTGGCGAGAGCGAAGTTGGTGGGCGTGTGGTGTTGGTGGACGTGATCCCGCTGTCGCTAGGCATCGAGACCGTGGGCGGTGTGATGACGAAGCTAATCGAGCGCAACACGCAGATCCCGACGAAGAAGAGCCAGGTATTCTCCACGTACCAGGACAACCAGCCGGGCGTGCTGATTCAGGTCTTTGAGGGCGAGCGTCAGATGACGAAGGACAACCGCCTGCTTGGCAAGTTCGAGCTGTCCGGCATCCCGCCGGCGGCGCGTGGTGTGCCGCAGATTGAGGTGACGTTCGACGTGGACGAGAACAGCATCCTGCAGGTGAGTGCCGTGGACAAGTCATCGGGGAAGAAGGAGGAGATCACCATCACGAATGACAAGGGGCGCCTGAGCGAGGAGGAGATCGAGCGCATGGTGCGTGAGGCCGCAGAGTTCGAGGACGAGGACCGCAAGGTGCGTGAGCGCGTGGAGGCGCGCAACTCGCTGGAGAGCATTGCGTACTCCCTGCGCAACCAGGTGAACGACAAGGAGAAGCTCGGTGGGAAGCTGAGCGCGGAAGACAAGAGTGCTGTGGAGGCCGCGGTGAAGGAAGCGATACACTTCCTCGACGAGAACCCCAACGCGGACAAGGAGGAGTACGACGAGGCGCGCGAGAAGCTTCAGGGCGTGACGAACCCGATCATCCAGAAGGCGTACCAGGCCGGCGGAGCTTCCGGCGAGGATGAGCAGCCGGAGCCAATGGACGATCTGTAGGCACGCGTGCTGGTTGACGCCAGCGGTGTTGCGTGCTTTGCCCCTACTACCGCAGCAGGTGCTGCTCTGTGGAGAAACTATGCTTTCCTATTTTGTGTGTGTCCCCGACGATGTGGCGCCAAACAGGATAAGGAAGGGGGAAGGGAAAGTGTAAGGATGAACGTACGACCTCTCCGATGGCCCGATGCCGTCTTTGTGCGGCGCCATGGGGCCGCTGTTCTGGGTGCCTGTTTCCCTGTTCTTCTGAGAAGGAAAGACACGGGGATATTGCGAAGCTAGTAGTATAGAGAAGCGAGTAAGGAAGCAGACTCCTGAAGTTATGTACGGTCTGAGAAATGACCGCGTAAGGGGAAGAACTAGTAAGAGCCCCGTGTTCCGCACATGTGATTCTTTTTTTGAATTTCTTTTACAATGTGCGCAAGGTGCAGGACGTGGGTCCCTCTTTTGTTTCCTTATATGTTTTTTTTTTGGTGCTGGATACTTTGTGGCCCGTGGTGTCCACTCGCATCCCGTGGCGTGCGCACTGCGCGATGCGGATGATGCGCGTGCATCTTTCTTTCCCGTCATGTTTTTTTTTCTTTTTCTTCTCTTTTTTGTGTGTAGGGCGCAGAGATTTCCCAGCCATGCTACTGTTTGCGGCTGATGCTGGGCGACGGGTGCTTGCGGGTGTTGCAATTGGCGGAGCACGCACTACTGACTGTGCGAGGACGGCGTAGTTGTCGCCCACCGTGGCGACTGGTATCTCGCCCCTCCCATGTGCGTTGCTGGCCACCGCTTGGGGTGCTTGGCCACGGCGGTGGTGGTCACGACCGTGCTGGGGTGCCCCCATTACAGTTTTGGGGACATGCAGCGGCGTGCGCAGGGGCGCCCTGCACTGAAGGGTGTGTGAGGAGCGCGATCCCCGGTAAGTCTCCATGCCGCACGCGAGCGCCCGAACGGTACTGCACCTGAGAAGCGATTGCTCGCCTTGGGTGGCGGTGGTGCCTGCTGCGACCGCAGGAGGCAAAGGGGGAGGGGTCTTTGTTTCCGTGTTGTGAAGCTGCGGTGTCTTGTGTGGTGTTGCTGTGTTCGCCGATGCCGCCAATTACTC